AGAGTCAACGTTTGTCATTGTGTGGGCGAGCCTGAGTAACTTTCCACAGCATCAGCTCCTCAGCTGCAGGCAATTATTCTGGCAGCGCACACAATGAGTCCTCAGTTAGTTCACAGCCTCATGTTCCTGTGTATTTATCAGTTTTATTATTACTTAGTCTGGACTCCGTACCTGGACTCGTCATTCCAAACCCTGCCATAGCCTTGCTTCTGGATTCAGCTGCTGCTTAATCTTTTTCAAACAAACTGCCATTCTCACCTGCCTGCCTCCCTGCACACCTATATTGGACTCAGCACTCGCCTGGACCTCGCCTCGCCTCCACCTCCAGCTAATCCCCGCCTGCAAACACGTAAGCCATCCCAGCTTGTCAAATGGGGAAACACTCACAACTCCTTGGACTGTTCTGATTTTCCTCTCCTATGTTTCAGTGCCCTGGTCTGCCAGTTTCCACCAGCCCCACTCCAGTCTCAGCAGTTTTTGTTTTCGCAAATCACTTGGAGCTTCCGGTCTTTGGTTCTGCGCCCGAGTCCATTCCACGCCACGGACCTCTGAGCCCTGACAACGGTCTAAACATCTGGAAAGTCCTGGAGGAAGAGAATGGCTGGACTCATCTGGATTCTGCTTTCTGCGTGCCTGCTGGGTTGTACCTCTCAAGGTAAGCTGTGGTCTGTGTACCAACTTTAATCAGTCTGCGTGAAGTTATAGGCTGTAATCAGTAATAAAAGTTTTAGGTGGAGTTTGTGTACAATTAAAATTTAACCACACAAACCTGGAGTAAATCAAAGTTAACTAAATAAGGAATTCAGGACTTTCGGAGTTACTGACATTTTTATACACAGTCCCTTATAGTCAAAGCAGACTTTTTCCATGGTTGAGACAAACGACTTCACAAAGTCTAACAAAGTCAAAAATGCTCACGAGGAAGGAGGAGGATTATTATTATTATTATTATTATTATTATTATTATTATTATTATTATTATTATTATTATTATTATTATTATAATTATTAAGTCTAAAACCAAAAGATTCTGTTTATAATGGTAATTAAACTCTGTTTTAAATCCTTGAGGGTGTTTCTTGGTTGCAAACTTCTTTAGTTGTTCTGATCATAGAAATAATTCTCAAATAATCAGTCATTTTATATGTCTTCTTTGATTTGTCAGGCCTTCTGTCGAACTGGTCAGTGGATTTTCTTTTTTTAAAAATAATCAATCAAATTATGAATGTTTTGCTCGATTTATTAATAATCTTGTTTTTCCTTTTTTCCAGAAAAAACACTTTTTAACAGTTAAATTTAAAGGAAAATTCCCTGGATTGTCATTGAAACACATTATATTGTCTCAAATGCTGCTACCCAAGTGTTAACTGTACAGTCCATGTCCAGTGATCCTGATGCTTTCCGTTGAAGTAAACAGCTGTTTGAAACCTTTACCTCTCTGCTCTGTATAGTTTCTCTTTCAGGTATGCGTCGATTTCAGTGGACATGGAAAATCGGTCACCAAGACGGTGATAGTGCTCGTGAAGGTAAAGTATACACATACAGTTGGAACGATGGTGATATGCCCTGGGAATTCCCAGTGTGTTTGAGTTAAGGTGGTTATTGGTGGTGACTTTCGAATTGTTTTCACAAATTTGCGAACATGCACATGAATCTCTGCGCGCAAAAACAACATACATCCACACGAGACTATCAGCTGGAAGTGGAGAAGAGCTGACCTGGGAGAGTGAATATGTGTTTTTGTATGGGATTGGGAGGGAAACTTTAAGTGGCACGTCAGGCTCATCCATCTTTTAAGGACGCCACAGGAAAAGTGTGTACTGCTGAGTTTCAAACTTTCCTCTAGTCCTGATTTAAAGTGACCAGTGTAAATATAATGTGCAAATTTCATTTGACTAACAATGACTTGTGCACACTCTGCATGGCAGCAATACTGCTCCGTAGGGTGATGCCATTTCCTGACACATAAGAAAGCTGTGCATTAGATCCTAACTGAAAATTAAACACTTCTTTTTCTGTTGCACACTCAGTCACAAACTGCACTCAGCAACAGCCAGAGCTGCAGAGTGCACCCACATAGCATTAAAAGTTACAGGGTGATGAGCTAAATTCAACCTGAAAGAAACAGACAAACAAAAATGCATCAGGACTTTATTCTGTGGATGACTGACATGAAGCCTGATTTTATACCAGCTTTTTTATAGCAGGGTAAAGATGTGTCACAATGAAATGAATGTTTGATGTTCAAAAATGCACAAATACCTTCTTCTTCAGAAAGAAACCAAAACAGAAACAGCAGTGATGAAGATGAGTTTCACATTTCTGCTTTTTTATTGTGATTACGAGTTTTACATGCAAGCATTTTTTTTACTAAATAACAAGCAATGAAAGAGACACATCACAGGAGCAGACTACAGCAGTTGCTCATAAGTCCTCATTCGATTCACATTTTCCTTAAATTAATAATCTTCAATCTTTTGTGGCTCGTGAGTCTATTCATACCTGTGTACAATACAGTACTTGTAGATGGCAGAGCTCCTGGCACTGCCAAAACACACATGGTACATATGTAATTAATGGAATTTCCCCCCAACCCCTATTCCAAAAGTTCAGTGATTAAAGTTTATCCTGTTAAGCCCCAACGAGGCTGTCTGAGCTTGCTCTTTGAAAATGACAAACCCAACAGGAATGTAAACAATCTCGGTATCAAAACAAAGCTAACACTGGTGAGATCAATTTCACATTACATTATTAAAATGTATAAAAGTTCTTATTGTTGATTCTAATCTTCTGATCTCTGAAATTCACATTTCTGCTGCTGAACACAAACCAAGAGTGATGGTTGAGTCAGTCAAGTTAATTAATTTCACTTTAATCTGTTAACAAGCTGAAGCGATTTCCACATTGTCTCCATCAGGCTGCGTGACAGCAAAGCTTCAAGTGTATCAAGTTCAAGAAGCATTTCCATGCTCATAGCTGCAGCAAGCTTAAGTGTATAATCAAGTCAGAGAGCATTACAAGATGAGTTTTTGTTCGAGTTGAATATTTGAACACTGCAGCAAAGACATCCAGTGTAAAGAGCAGAACATTGTAATAATGCTGAGATTATTCAAAGTGATTCATAGTCAGAATTATATTGTGTGATCTGGATGAAGCAATAACTGGATAATAAATGATAAAACAGCAAAATTCTGTTTTCTTTGCTCTCACACACTAGGTCAACAGTTAAACAAAAACCTATAACTGTCGGTGACATTTCACAAATCAGTTTCATTGTGAAGTTCCATCTGTGTCTGTTCACTGACAACACTGGGAAGTGGGAACAGCAGCAGGAGACTGTTTAATGACAAGAGGTTTGAGACGAACTTCTTTTGCCTTTATGGTTTCTGTAGATCACAAATCCAGCAACAGCAGCAACAACGAGGGCAGCAGCAGTAACTACCACACCAACGATTAGTCCAACAGATCCCTGCAGGTGAGAAACAGGTGTGAGGTGTCAGCTGTCAGGTAGGTGATGAGTGAAGAACAGAACAGAATCCATTTCCTCTTCAAACTGCTGTCAGACATTATCTACTGCACTCTGATCACATCACTCAGACCAGCTGCTTTCTACAAAGTCTCATCAACAACATCTTTAGAAACAAACATCAACAACCAGGAAGCAGCTTCACCTCTGATCACACACACACTCAACTCTACTCACTCACCTGGAGGATCAACAACTCTCAGGTGATGATGCTGATGAGCTTCGAACCAGTTGTTCCTGTCTCAACGACACGACACTCGTATGTTCCAGTGTCATTAATCGTCACATTGTTCAGAATCAAAGACACGTCTCCATCCTTCATCTGTCTGTCCTGCAGATCCACCCGGTTCTTAAAAGATGGATGCTGGTCGTCTAAGTTTCACATCCCCATCCCGGTACAAAACACATATTCATCTCTCAGGTCAGCTCTGCTCCACTCCAACATCTGGATGTTGTTTGTGCAGCTCGACATGGTCAGAGTGACGTCCTGTCCAGATCAGCTGTGACTTTTTCTGGTCTGAAAGAGAAACTATACAAAGCAGAGAGGTAAAGGTTTCAAACAGCTGTTTACTTCAACAGAAAGCATCAGGATCACTGGACATGGACTGTACAGTTAACACTTGGGTAGCAGCATTTGGGACAATATAATGTGTTTCAATGACAATCCAGGGAATTTTCCTTTAAATTTAACTGTTAAAAAGTGTTTTTTCTGGAAAAAAGGAAAAACAAGATTATTAATAAATCGAGCAAAACATTCGAATTTGATTATTAAAAAAAAAAAAGAAAATCCACTGACCAGTTCGACAGAAGGCCTGACAAATCAAAGACGACATGTAAAATGCCTGATTATTTCTATGATCAGAACAACTAAAGAAGTTCGCAACCAAGAAACACCCTCAAGGATTTAAAACAGAGTTTAATTACCATTATAAACAGCATCTTTTGGTTTTAGACTTATTATTATTATTATTATTATTATTAATAATAATACTCCTCCTTCCTCGTGAGCGTTTTTGACTTTGTTAGACTTTGTGAAGTCGTTTGTCTCAACCATGGAAAAAGTCTGCAGCTGTGCACTTTAGTTATCTTCTTTCGGGGTTTTTGGTGCAGCTGAGCTGATTGTGATTTTCAACACTTTGAATCAATGTCTGCTTTGACTATAAGGGACTGTGTATAAAAATGTCAGTAACTCCGAAAGTCCTGAATTCCTTATTTAGTTAACTTTGATTTACTCCAGGTTTGTGTGGTTAAATTCTAATTGTACACAAACTCCACCTAAAACTTTTATTACTGATTACAGCCTATAACTTCACACAGACTGATTAAAGTTGGTACACAGACCACAGCTTACCTTGAGAGGTACAACCCAGCAGGCACGCAGAAAGCAGAATCCAGATGAGTCCAGCCATTCTCTTCCTCCAGGACTTTCCAGATGTTTAGACCGTTGTCAGGGCTCAGAGGCCCGTGGCGTGGAATGGACTCGGGCGTAGAACCAAAGACCGGAAGCTCCAAGTGATTTGCGAAAACAAAAAACTGCTGAGACTGGAGTGGGGCTGGTGGAAACTGGCAGACCAGGGCACTGAAACATAGGAGAGGAAAATCAGAACAGTCCAAGGAGTTGTGAGTGTTTCCCCATTTGACAAGCTGGGATGGCTTACGTGTTTGCAGGCGGGGTTTAGCTGGAGGTGGAGGCGAGGCGAGGTCCAGACGAGTGCTGAGTCCAATATAGGTGTGCAGGGAGGCAGGCAGGTGAGAATGGCAGTTTGTCTGAAAAAGATTAAGCAGCAGCTGAATCCAGAAGCAAGGCTACGGCAGGGTTTGGAATGACGAGTCCAGGTACGGAGTCCAGACTAAGTAATGATAAAACTGATAAATACACAGGAACATGAGGCTGTGAACTAACTGAGGTTAGGAGATGATCTGGCAAAGACTCATTGTGTGCGCTGCTCCTAAATACTGCCAGAATAATTGCCTGCAGCTGAGGAGCTGATGCTGTGGAAAGTTACTCAGGCTCGCCCACACAATGACAAACGTTGACTCTTCCTTAGGAGTTGTTACTGAAAAGGATGGAGTGGGCGTGGGTAAAATATTTAAAAACAGATGATACCTAGGTTACTGTTACTTACTTTTTTAAGGACTGTTAGGGCTTAAATCTAGTAAATAAAGTGTCTTCAGATGTCTGCTGTTGTTTCCTGAATAGTCTGATCTGGAATCAGTCCACAGTGAACAAACACACTGAGCAAAAGTGTAATCTGAACTAAAGTCAAATCTTTAAACTGAACCAAGAATCAAACTGCAGGAAAACCTGCTCACTGACCTTCTCTCACTTTAATCAGCACAGGGTGCGATGTAGACAGCAGTGATGATTTTTTATTTTTAGCCTGGCTCTCAGTCAGCTCAGAATAAATAGATTCAAATGTTGGATTATTAGCCTTCATTGTTGGTGTTTGTGCTCACAGGTACAAACTACCATCAGTCTGCACCATTAAACAGATACATAATGAACTTGCGCATATATATATATATATACATATATATATATATATATATATATAGTTCTTTTCTGTCTCACTGACAGCTCAAAGTGCTGTTGACTAACCACACACTCATACAGCAGCTTATTCTGTGCACTTCAAGCACCTCACCTACATGACCCACCTAGAATCACCAGTTAGCGACACATACAGTGGGGCAAAAAAGTATTTAGTCAGCCACCGATTGTGCAAGTTCCCCCACTTAAAATGATGACAGAGGTCAGTAATTTGCACCAGAGGTACACTTCAACTGTGAGAGACAGAATGTGAAAAAAAAAAATCCATGAATCCACATGGTAGGATTTGTAAAGAATTTATTCGTAAATCAGGGTGGAAAATAAGTATTTGGTCAATAACAAAAATACAACTCAATACTTTGTAACATAACCTTTGTTGGCAATAACAGAGGTCAAACGTTTACTATAGGTCTTTACCAGGTTTGCACACACAGTAGCTGGTATTTTGGCCCATTCCTCCATGCAGATCTTCTCGAGAGCAGTGATGTTTTGGGGCTGTCGCCGAGCAACACGGACTTTCAACTCCCGCCACAGATTTTCTATGGGGTTGAGGTCTGGAGACTGGCTAGGCCACTCCAGGACTTTCAAATGCTTCTTACGGAGCCACTCCTTTGTTGCCCGGGCGGTGTGTTTTGGATCATTGTCATGTTGGAAGACCCAGCCTCGTTTCATCTTCAAAGTTCTCACTGATGGAAGGAGGTTTTGGCTCAAAATCTCACGATACATGGCCCCATTCATTCTGTCCTTAACACGGATCAGTCGTCCTGTCCCCTTGGCAGAAAAACAGCCCCATAGCATGATGTTTCCACCCCCATGCTTCACAGTAGGTATGGTGTTCTTGGGATGCAACTCAGTATTCTTCTTCCTCCAAACACGACGAGTTGAGTTTATACCAAAAAGTTCTACTTTGGTTTCATCTGACCACATGACATTCTCCCAATCCTCTGCTGTATCATCCATGTGCTCTCTGGCAAACTTCAGACGGGCCTGGACATGCACTGGCTTCAGCAGCGGAACACGTCTGGCACTGCGGGATTTGATTCCCTGCCGTTGTAGTGTGTTACTGATGGTGACCTTTGTTACTTTGGTCCCAGCTCTCTGCAGGTCATTCACCAGGTCCCCCCGTGTGGTTCTGGGATCTTTGCTCACCGTTCTCATGATCATTTTGACCCCACGGGATGAGATCTTGCGTGGAGCCCCAGATCGAGGGAGATTATCAGTGGTCTTGTATGTCTTCCATTTTCTGATGATTGCTCCCACAGTTGATTTTTTCACACCAAGCTGCTTGCCTATTGTAGATTCACTCTTCCCAGTCTGGTGCAGGTCTACAATACTTTTCCTGGTGTCCTTCGAAAGCTCTTTGGTCTTGGCCATGGCGGAGTTTGGAGTCTGACTGTTTGAGGCTGTGGACAGGTGTCTTTTATACAGATGATGAGTTCAAACAGGTGCCATTCATACAGGTAACGAGTGGGGGACAGAAAAGCTTCTTACAGAAGACGTTACAGGTCTGTGAGAGCCAGAGATTTTCCTTGTTTGAGGTGACCAAATACTTATTTTCCACCCTAATTTACGAATAAATTCTTTACAAATCCTACCATGTGGATTCATGGATTTTTTTTTCACATTCTGTCTCTCACAGTTGAAGTGTACCTCTGGTGCAAATTACTGACCTCTGTCATCATTTTAAGTGGGGGAACTTGCACAATTGGTGGCTGACTAAATACTTTTTTGCCCCACTGTATTGTTCAAACGGAGGAAATACAAACCTCTTCTGTCAGTGAGAAAGTGTTCGTTTTTAGATGTACTAACACATATTTACATAAGAGTTTGTATA